ATGAATTGTGAATGTTATAGGCCTTAAATCTCTTCTCATTGTATTTGAGGACCATAGATAGGTTATGTCGGGTAGGAATTTCGATTGTAGATGGTTTATTCTTGGGACTGGCCAGCTCGAGATGTGAATTGTCTTATTTCGAATTCTCGTGCCCGAGTACTTTAGCGTTGAGGCGATGCTCAGTATTTGAGATTCGCATTTTGGAAATGAACAGCTTGGTCTGGCTAGAATGATTTCAAGAGTCCAATGGACATCTAGTGGGGATAGAAAGTGACGTGAGAGACCGGACGGGGTTAACATGGTGTGGGGCAGCGTATCCCTTTTCTTTTGATCACCCATATATGGCTACTACATGACGTTAGCATGTGAATTCGTGTATATATTATCTGTCAAACTGGATATGTATGTGTGATATGTATTTGTGTATTTGATTAGCTGCCTCCTTGATCTGGCGTGTTATGTGCGTATATGTTTACTTGTGTATTTGGTATGCTGGAATTGGTGCTTAGACAATTTACTGTGATTATTCACTAAAATTACCTTTTGGGGAAAAGAAAAGAAAAGCGAGAGGGAAAAACATATCTATGGACGGGAGACGTAGTCGTGGACGTGGTCGAGGCCGGGAACTGAGCCGACCCCGGAATCAAGAGGAGAAAGGAAAACGTCAGCCGAGCAAAGGGCAGGGATCAAGAGCTGCGACTGGAGACCAAATGGCAACGGCAATGCAACAGATGAAGGATATCTTGGCAAGACAGGTGGATCAACAAGGCCAAATACCCGGTAAACCAAAATCGAAACCCTGAGATGGGCGAGGATAAGGCTCTTGAAAGGTTCCAAAAATTTGCTCCGCCAAAATTCCTTGGAGGGCCCGATCCGGACGTTGCTGAACAATGGATAGAAACCATGGTTAATATCTTCACAGCCCTAAACTACACTGGGCAAAGGCAAGTGAACTTTGCAGTATTTCAATTTGAGGGACCGGCCCGATCATGGTGGAACGTAATTAGAGCAAAGTGGGAAAGAGAACAGACCATCTGGATATGGGCAAACTTCATAAGAGAATTTAACGAGAAGTACCTTCCACCTTTAGTCCAAGAAAGGAGGGAGGAGGAGTTTATTGGGTTACGCCAGGGAACGTTAAGTGTGGCCGAATATGAAACAAAATTTACAAGATTATCCAAGTTTGCTTCTGAACTGGTAGCCACTGAACGGCGCAGAGTAAGACGGTTTATACAGGGACTGAATTTGGACATCCAAGAGGCGTTAGCCGCGCGCGCAAGTGAATACCTTTACGGAGGCCCTTGAGAAGGCTCAACGAATCGAGAATGCAAAGGCACAAGTAAAAGCCTTCCAAACT